TGCTGCCTCAACTTTTTTTTTCCTGAGTTAAAGTGTTTCGTCAATGTGAAAGCCAGTGCAACTCAGAGTTTTTGGCCGATTTTGTGAGCGGTTCAGGCTTCAGAATGATTTGGGTGGATTAGTTAGATATGGAACAGTCAAGGGCCAGTGAATACTAATAGGATGGGTAAGAAATATCGAACGAAAACACGAATGCTATATTACATAGCAGATGACTCTTGGAAGATGACCACACTGAAGATTGGTCGCAAGTCGATCTCCTTCGCGACGCCCATTGCCCAAATCATGGGGGGACAAGGGCCTCCACTTGTGGAAGAGGGACAGATTATCCTTGTTGGGCATCATCACCACTTCTATTGCAAGCATTTACTCCTAGGACCCCATATGCTACATTTATGAAGCTCATCTTTGTATGATTGTTGAAAATCTCCAATGGGCCCATCTCCATTCATCTCTGTCCACCAGATCCTAACGACAACGTAGAACCTCCCATCTCAGTTAGCGGCTTCAGAGATATCTTAGATACCAGACTGTATGACTAGCACGAGGCCTTCAGTTGTGGACTTGTGGCTGCAGTTGAGGTACCTAACAAAACAATGCAGCATCACCTACCCATTGTTCCTCCTTAGTACCCCCCACTGAGAACAGTTAAGGAACCTAATCCTATACCAACTGATGACACTCACGCAACACATCCACTCCTTGCATGCAGCAAAATAGCAACATGCTTGCCGAAAAAAACAAAAAGAAACCAGGCAGAAATACAACACAGCTAGCCCAAGTACATCACCTGAAGATGCAATGGCGCTACAAGGCATTAGAAAGGATGCGCTGCGATGTGGGCTTGGTAGTGTTGCTTCATATCAGTTTCATCTTCAGTTGCGCTTTTGCTTCATGTGGAAAAGCAAGCCTTAATGGTGTTGTTTATGGTCTCATGTTTATTAGTTCCGAAGCTCAGGGCGTCCAATCGTCCAGACGTTCCAGTTCACGGGCCGCCACACTAGCCCAACGGCCCAATAATGGTATCCTCTTGTTCACGTGCCTCTAATAATAGCATGTTGTCTTCATTCTCTTAGAAGGCTCTCCACCACAGCGCTGCAACCGGGCTCCACCGCGACGCCTAGCTCGGTGTTCTGCACGGCGTCCTTGAGCCCGCTGGCCAGCATCTCCACAGCGCCCGAGCACGGCCGCCCGCCTTCCTCCATCTCCATCACACCTCCTGCCCACCACGGCCTTCTCCAGCACGTGGACCACCTTCTCCATCAGAGTGGTGACAGCTCGCGCCAGATCCGCCATGGCCTTCTACATCTTGGACCTGCCATGGCCTTATCCACCGGAGTGGCCTTCTACATCGGACCTGGCGCGACCTTCTCCACCGGAGCGCCGAGCTCCACACCACCAGCAAGCTCTACAGCGTGAACTCCACACACAGACGAGCCTCCATTCTCCCAAGTAGCAATGAGATGTTGCACTGAAAGCGTATATTTCAAATGTCGTTGTTTCATAGGTATGTTGCAATTGTTTCATATGGATATTGCAAAAGTAGATCAGGATGTTGCACATATTGCAATGGCTATACATGCATGTTGCAAGAGTTTGTTCAAAAATATTTTATCTGTTTTAAACGTATGTTGCAAGTATTTTATCTACATGTTGTAAAAATAGATCCGGATGTTTCATATACATGCATGTTGCAAGTGTATATTTCAAGTGTTTCATACGTATGTTGCAAGTGTTTCATCTGGATGTTGTAAAAGTAGATTTAATGTTGCACATGTTGTAATAGGACCCACCTGCCGTGGCAGGTGACTAGGACCCACATGGCGTTCCCGTGTGCAGGCACAGAAACGCTCAGCGGTCAGGCAAAGCAGAGTGAGCGTTATGGTAGGGCGGGAAGCAGCCTGAGATCCACACGGTGGGGAGCGCGGAAACAGGCAGCACGGGCTCCACTTCTTACGCGTGCGGCACCGTCCGACACTAGCGCTCCGGAACGGACGTCCGGGCGCTATCAAATCCGTTATTAGTTTTTTTTGGGGTTGGTGTGGTGTGTGATATGTTGGGTTAGTCGTGTTTCTCGTGCCTATCCGTGCGAGTTGTGTTTAGTCCCACCTTGTATTGCCTTCTTAAACTAGCTGTATTAGTTTTCTCTTGGAATCGGATGTTTTCCGTCCCATAATTGGTTAGTTATTTAACCTGGTTTCTATTAAAAAAACTGAGTGACAGTTATTTTTTCCTTCTCTAATAAAAATTGTTGCAAAGCTTTTGTTGTCCTTTCGAAAATATATTAATCCTCCGAAAACACTGGTAAGAGATAAAAAAAAAGACAGTTGCTATCATAGAGTAGAGCGACAGGGAACAAGTAAAGCCGTGAGCAAAATAAAAAAAAACTCCCCTACGGTGGGCAGATAGCCCCCGCAGTTTTTGTGCTAGAAAGAATATCTCTCACGCAGGTCGAGAAAACACACGAACCCCATGCTCCGCCCTCACACAGGGGCCCGTAACCATGTGAGTGGCCCAGAACCTTTTTACCTGTGCTTTGGACGCAGGACAGGTGAGGGAGGATTTTTTCTACACAAACTGTGCATTACCGCAGCTGTGTTCGCGGTAGCCGAGAGTCGAACTCCCGACCGAGACCTTCCCACGACGGGGACGGAACCACTCGAGCTAACGCTCGCCAGCCGTGAGCAAAATAGCAGGTGATGTTGGGCATTGTGAAACACGGGCTTAGGAAATATTGGCGCCAAATGAATCAAGCACATTCTTTAAAACCCCTGCAGATGGAGGTCGCTAATGAACTGAACTTGGCCAAGCAAAACCCCTAGACAAAGTATAGTCTAATGTTTGAAATTTAGGCATTTGTATGATTAAGGTCGAATATAAAATCTCGTTAAAAAGAGTTTCGAATACAAATCATAACATAAATGCAAGTATGCTGCTTAACGTGGTGCACAGGGTATTTCTCTTTAGTAAAAGATGATGAATAATTCGCAGTACGCTCGCGCTGTCATGCTCATAAGAGGTAGAAATTCGGGATTTAATCTCTGTGCTATAGAAGTCGTCCTACTCTCTCATTTGCTTGCAAGCCAAACCAGGCTCATACAGAATCGTAAAATAGAAAACCGGACATAACTATTGCAAAAGACAGCTTTTCCTCCTTAAATTAGAAACCGGACATAAAAACCCCCCCATCTTTTCAAACCTGACATATAACCTCCCTGGCTATTTCTCTATGCATTTTTTCTCTTTTTCTTTTATATTTACTTCAGCTGAATCTTTAAAAAACCATAATAAATTATAAAAAAAATCATAAAATAGACAATCCAATTTTGTTGGACTCCACATAAGTATATCTACATAGTAAACATATGATATGGTATGCTTTAGTACAAAATTTTTACTCTAGCTTTAGATCTGTGCTTTCTGTGATTAATTCATAGCTGTAGTTTCATGATTCTATTGTGGTGAAATTTTTATGGTGGATAAATCATTGTATGTTTGAGATGAAGTAAAAAAAAATCATGCTCATTGGATCATGTATGACTGAGTTATAGATTTATTCAGGTTTATGCTTATTAAATAGTAAAAAGTGTGTAAAAATAGAAAATATGTGTTCTCTATGTAATATTACTATTGTTATATCGTATGAACACTTAACATAATCATGATGTCATAGAGAAAATTACACAGAGAACATACATTTCTCATTTTTACACACTTTTAATTATTTTAAACTATTTAATTAGCATAAATCAAGATAAGTTTGTACCTAAGTCATATATGATTCAATGAGTATAAAATTTTTACTACATCTCAAGCATATAATGATTAGTCTACCATAAAAATTTAACCACAATTGGACTACAGAAACTATAGCTATGAATTAATCACATAAAAGCATAGATCTAAGGCTAGAGCAAAATTTTTTTACTAAAGCATACCATATCATATTTTTACTATGTAGATCTATTCATGTGGAGTCTAAAAAAATTGGATTTTCATTTTACGATTTTCCTGTACTTTACTATGATTTTTCAAAGATTAAGCCAAAATAAATATAAAAGAAAACAAAGAAAAACCACCTAGAGAAACAGCCAAGAGGTCATATGTCCGGTTTGGAAAGATGGGGGAGGAGTTGTGTCCAGTTTTCTAGTTTAGGGGAAAAACTGACTTTTGTGATAGTTGAGGGAGACAAAATAGACTTTTTCCTATACCGAAATCATGAACTAAAAAGAAATAGATAAAAGGATGATGAGTTGGATTATAAAATGGCTCATGGGCTGTGGCCCATTACCACCCATAACTAGGCCTATAAACATATATCATTGATTTTATTATTGCTTGGATTGGAAGAAGTCCCAAAGACTTAGCCTTAGATAGGAGTGCTTGGAAAACAGCTATTCACGTGCCTGAACCTTGATTGCTTCTGCTGGGTTTCAACTCTAGCCTAACCCAACTTGTTTGGGACTTAAAGGCTTTGTTGTTGTTGTTGTTGGATTGGAAGAAGTCGAAAACAGAGAAAATTCTCTTTTGCGCGCTCAATGGTGTCCATATCAAATTTAATTCTGCCGCCCTCAACAGTTGACGCAATTTGGCACCTAATGACATCAACGAGGTGATGCCTTACACAGAACATGTACATTACAGCATTTATATGCATAGCACATATCCTGGGCTCCTTTCAGTCATATTCCTTCTAGAGAGAACTCGGTTGTCAGATTAGACATGTTCCCAGGTCAAATTAGACATGTTCCGGGCACTTGACAAGTATATATCAGTAATAAAACATATTGAATTTTGCCACAATATTGGTTTAAGGAAACCATTTCTCACTTAGGTCGAACATGCCAAATGGGTGCAAGTAATGGGATCAAAAACAGAAAACAGAAAACAGAGATTCAGAGAGTCAGAAAACAGAGATTCAGAGAGTCAAGGGCAACTAGACAAGCTGGAATCCTATTTATACAACATGGGAACCTAAGTTTGCTGGGGTGACCTGCGACCTATGGGTCTCTCTTGTTGGAGGGCCAAGACAACCTCCTCTGGTTCATGGCATCAACAAGTCCATCGCTCTCGGGGTTCATGTCCTCCACTTGCTTCCAGCTATCCAGCATCGAGCCGTCTCTCCACTGAGGTGGCGTCAAGAACTTCGAATTGTCGCTGGAGCCACTTGGGGTCAGTGACAGAGACAAATGGCCAACACGTAGTTTCTGAAGAGTAGAAAAGGATTCCCTCATCGCAGACATGGCCTCGAAGAACCGGGTGCAGGAAGCAAGTGCAGCAGGAATCGGTCGCAGCATTTCCTTCATTGAGATAGAGGAAGTTAAACCTATGACTAGTGACAGAGGACATATGTACAAGAAGAATTTTGAGTTGTTGTAAGGCCAGTTAGTCACAATGAATACAGAACAAACTGCACAGTTATCCTGACATGGATTCATGATAAATCACATGCTATCTATACAAATGAGAACAATAGCATGAATATATTTTGTCCAAGTGGAAAGCATATTCATAGGATGAATTTGCTATGACTACTATTAGGAAAAAAATAATTTAACTTACCCCCCAGACAGCTGGTGATTCCCTAAAGTTTTGGCTCCACTGGAAATCGCCGACTGATGCTGTCAATGCCCCATAGTCACTTGCTGCTTTCAGAAGTAGTTCCGAGAATTGTTTCTGAGAAGAGATCAGCACATTAAGCAAGCAAAACAAGCAATGAAAATGCAAAAGTAGGTAGGCCAACATTCTCTTGCTATAGAAATTGCAACAGCAGAACATAAAAAAATTACCTGGTATTCAGCTTCAACTGGTATGCAGTCAAGGGAATAAGGTTGTTGCAGCCGAGCAATAATGCGATCCTGATAGACAATAGCTGTAATTTTAGATATGTAAATCAACTGGCTAATGCATACACAGCTGCTCTTGACACATCAGACTAAAAACAACATATAACCTTGATGCTAAAGAAAGGAAGAAAGCAAGAATAATAAAATGCAGGTAGGTGGCTTATATTACCTTGTTCTGAATTACATCTTTCAAAATAGTAGTTATTCTGGCCAAAGATTCACACTTCTTCTCCATCTCACTCACATGAGTCAAATGAGCAATGTTTTTATCATCCTGTGGCAAACAAAACTTCATGAATATGACCTATGATAATACCATAGAATCGAAGGAAAAGCTCTGAAAAAGAAGAGATAGGAAATGGATATCGCACTATTGGAGGAAAGTTAATGGGTTCAAAAATAAACAGTATGACAACGCTTGTTTTCCTTTCCCATTCCCACATATTACTATATTATTATGGCATCAACAGCGTTCATGTTCATAGATATCTTTTTTTTTCACAAGGAAAGCCAACGGAGGAGCCTCTCAGTGCCAAGGCCAGGGATTGAACCCAGGATGCTGGTTTGAGGGCTGGCTCAAGGAACCACCCGGACTAACAGCCCTACTGTTCATACATTATCTACTAGGCTAAAAAAGGGTTTAGACGCTCTTAAGGATATGCGGACATTTTTAGTCATTCTCCAAGGACCAGAGTATCAGACTTTGTTCCAATAAGTGTGGCCATCTACCAATACAAGATAAAATTTCGAATTAAAGGGAAAAAAATCCCTTTGATATGACCACAAGTATTCATGGTAAAGGAAAGCTCATAGTAACACTCAACATGTAGGTATCTGGTATGAATACACTGTATCCCCAAAATGCTGTAACTCACTAGGAAGTCTTGTCTCTGCCTAGAATCTCATTTCATGAGCAACCAAGCCGGAAATGGCACACTTCACAAAAGGGATCATAATCTGACCACCTTAAATAGAGAATCTAAAGGGTTTTCATTAAGAAACACGATGAAATGGAAATATCGTATAGGATCTGAAAAAATGTAACACTAGGTGAAAAATTATGAAAGCTTTTTTTTAGATTAAAATTATGAAAGCTTTGGCATTGTGTGTAACTGGTGCAAACATATAAAGCCTAACAACTAGATAGCAAAACATCACCTTTCTTCCCTGTAGCTCCACTTGCAAGTTGGCAATGTTCCTCTGCACAACAGTCAGTTCCCTCAAAACCTTCACCAAATCATCGCTTTTGTCAGAGCTTGTCTGATCTTCCTGCAATGAGAGAAACAACGGAGGGGAATAGTGAGGACTTGAGAAACACACTTTTCAAATCACACCACGCATAGCAAAATCCAGAAGGCCATTTGTTCATTAGCATCGCCTCAATTTTTGCATGCTTGTGTACAGTGCGCCCAGTGCAGACTCTGTATTGTTGGCATAGAAACCTAAATTTAAATTTTAAACAACTAATCTAAAGAAAATAAACAGTGAACCAGATATAGCACAACACAGGAATGCCTAGTTTTCACTGTATTCGCATTTTGTTCTAAAATCGCAATGTTTCATAAGGTCAACAATTCTGCACAACGATTATCCTAATTGTAGAGCCATCCCACAGGTTCTCCTCGCAGGATGACCCAAGCTTACGCAACCTCGCTTAACCGAACCAAATGCTAAACCCACCCAAACACACGAAATTCGTGCGCTCATGCATTTTCACAACCATTTCGAATTTACCTCTCCAGATGCCCACCGCTTCCGCGAACTGAACCCAACGATTTTGTGCCTCGCAACGGAACGTGATCGGACCAAAAGGGCTAGATCCGGCTGATGCGCGGGGATTCGAACCCAACCAGAGGCGGGCGGCAGGATAAGGCAGCGAGACAGATCGGGGAGGCGTGGTGGGGTGTGAGTGTGACGGACCTGCGTGGTAGGGGCGGGGAATCCGAGGTCGGCGGCGATGGCGAGCGCCTCCGCCATGCCGCCCAGCCTCTTGGCCGGCTTCGGCTGCGCCGCCGCCATGGCGTCGCCGGCGCCGAGGTCGTTTACAAGGGGGGCCCGGCCGGCGGGCGAAGGCGGAGGAGACCGGGAGCAGCCTCTGGCGTGCGAGTTGGGCCGCGCTTCGCTTTCGTTCGGACGGCCGAGTCGGCTAGCTCTAATTTGATTTTTGAACCTCCAGATGGCTGCTGCTCATTGTTTTGTTCGCAATCCACAATACTTCCATTGATTGAATTATTTTTATACCTCTGAAGGTTATTTAATTGAATTGTTTGATGCCTATTTGGTTGGAGAGGTTTGAAAACTTTGATGTTTTTTTGCCTTGGCCACACAAATGCAGGTGAAGTTTGTTTGGCTGCAAAACTGAGCTCGTGATTGATAAGTGAGATGTGTTTCATTACTTACCTTATACAAAGAGAAGAAGCAGTAGTACGTGATTTAAGGATTATATAAAACACATAGTCTGATGAAAAAGATGGGTAGCATCAATATTCTCATAATCATCCATTTCTCATTATTATTGTTTCCTAACCGGCTAAAAGTGCTTGTTTTTTTTAATAATAAAGTATGTTGTGGCTTCAGTCATCCTCAGAAGAGGAAGGCATCGAATCAAACGAAAAAAACAACAAGGTTTTAAATGAATATATAGAAAATAAAAATAGCAAAATTTCCAAAAATAGAGTATACAAAATTGGTATAAAATAATAGGTTATTTGCCATTCAAAATGGTTTCAAATAATTTTCAAAATAAAGTTTCAATGGTTCTGAATTATTTTCCAAATGCATTTGAAAAGTTAAAAAAAAAAGATTTAAAACAAGTTAAAATATATTTATTTTAAATAAAGTTTTAAACTTCTACTAGGGCTTTATAACACTACAAGAAACTTGTTAATCCGTGACGGATTCTCGGTGACGGATTTACAAACCGTCACTGACAGACGCAATCCATGACGATAATTTTTTCCATCATGGTTGTGCACCAGTGAATATTCTCGGCCCGCTAACTCGTGACGGTTTTATTCGGATCGTCACAGTGTATGATTTTAAATTCGTCATACTCTAGTTAGCCCAAAACATTAGGCCCGCTATCATATATTGAGTGCAAAGAAAATTAAAAAATGTGATTGCAAAAAAGAATCAACCCCAAAAGCCGATTTGTTAAATTATTTGAACCAAAAATAGAGTATACAAAATTGGTATAAAATAATAGGTTATTTGCCATTCAAAATGGTTTCAAATAATTTTCAAAATAAAGTTTCAATGGTTCTGAATTATTTTCCAAATGCATTTGAAAAGTTTTAAAAAAAGATTTAAAACAAGTTAAAATATATTTATTTTAAATAAAGTTTTAAACTTCTACTAGGGCTTTATAACACTACAAGAAACTTGTTAATCCGTGACGGATTCTCGGTGACGGATTTACAAACCGTCACTGACAGACGCAATTCGTGACGATAATTTTTTCCTTCATGGTTGTGCACCAGTGAATATTCTCGGCCCGCTAACTCGTGACGGTTTTATTCGGATCGTCACAGTGTATGATTTTAAATTCGTCATTCTCTAGTTAGCCCAAAACACTAAGCCCACTATCATATATTGAGTGCAAAGAAAATTAAAAAATGTGATTGCAAAAAAGAATCAACCCCAAAAGCCGATTTGTTAAATTATTTGAACCAAATAATTTTATTACTTTGTTGTATGTATATGGTGCATATGAACTAAAAATATTCTGCATATATATGGTGTGGAAGCGGAAAAAAATGCTTAGAAACACATATATATGGTGCGGAAGGGGAAAAATGCTTGGTAACAAAAAATCTGCACCACATGGGACTTGAACCTAGCGACTGTTGCTAACCAACATCCACGTTGGCCCATCGTCCGCTCAGTCATCGTGGCCCATATGTCAGGTAGGCACAAATGTTTAAATGGTAAAAAAAAAAAAAAAGGTGCGCTAACTACAGCACCTGTAGGTTATGATAAATCGAACTTACCACTGCACTAGCTGTTTAGTTGTGTATGAATAAGATTCCTTATATATACGAGTAATTTTTACTCTATCGACCTTCTCGCTTCGAACACGAACTTCTCTCCCCCGCTCGGCCAGCCCAGGTCGTCTACAGGAGAAAAGAAAAAAAAACAGGAATAAACATAAAATAAAAGTTGGAGTGAGGATTCACGCTGAGAAGGGCTTAACCACGGAGCCAATAGTTCGGTTGACATATAAATGAAAATCTAAATACTTTGAGATTCGAGCAAATGATGTTTGAAATTCTCAAAATTTTAAAATTTGAATTTCAAATTATTCAAACAAAATTGGATGGAGAAATAACCAAAACAAAATTTACAGATCTAAATGAGTTCTATAACTTTGTTGTTGATGACTTTTCTATTTGAAATCATTTACTATCTCAAAATATTGTTTGAAGTTGTGATATTTTAAAATTAAAATTTTTAACTGTTTAGACAAACTCGTATGGAGAAATAACCAAAACAAAAGTTATAGATTCGATGAGTTCTACAACTTTGTTGTTGTAGAATTTTTCATTTAACATCATTTGCTAGCCCAAAATTCTATTTGAAATTCTCAAATTTTTAAATTCAAATTTTTAAATTGTCCAAATAAAATTCTGCGTTCATTAGTGGAATGAGAAGTAGCGTTATGGAACTTGCACAACTTCTTATTCTTCAACTGATCAGGGGGCAACATAACATGATTATCGGGCAGCTTAATCTGTCCCATCTCAAGTAAGAAGTCAAAGAGCTTGTCTGATTTTGTGACGTCAAAGTCATAGCTCTCCTCGACTCCTCTTCCCCAAGAATTTGGTATCATTACTTTCTTTTTGCCTCAATTCTATTCAGCTGCGGCGACCTCTTCTTCTTCATCTTTATAGTCGTCATCGACTGAGTATGGATTATAAGCTTTGGCCACTGTGGTACTCTTCTGGAATCGGGTATCTCTGCACATACTCTGGAATTGACTATTGAGCGCCGCCACTCATTGAGCCAATTGACCTAAGTTGTCAAATTCTTATCCCAGCAGCTTTTCTTTCCGTGTTGGCAGCATTTCTTGAACGGCCAAAGTAGCTAGCTGATCATCAGCCAAGTTTAATAAGAAGCATAAATTTCTAGTCTCTCGGAACCTCTGAAGAAACTCAGTGTCTGATTCATTAGTTTTCTGTCTTATAGTTGTCAAATCGGTAATCTTCTTTTCTTTAGTCCCAGTATAAAAGTATGTATGAATTTTTTTTTCCAGTTCAGCCCAATTGGCAATGGAGTTGACTGGCAGTGATGAAAGCCAAGTGAAGGCTGGCCCTGATAGTGACATGGAGAAGAAACGAACTCGATGGGCCTCCTCAACTGATGCCTCGCCCAATTGTGTAAGATACCGACTGACATGTTTATTGTGCTTGTGCTGTCTTGACTAGTGAACTTAGTAAACTTTGGAAGCCTGTAATTTACAGGAAAAGCGACCAAATTATACCATTCTGGATATGGACGTTTGTACGAAAAGGTCAATCCTTTTGGCTTTAGACCGAACTGATTCTTCATCATCTCTGTCACCTTTAGCAACAACTTGTCAGCATGTGAATTTGAATTTCTCTGCACCTGCTGACCTATCTGTGGATTGAAATCCCGTGTGCCTTGATACCCTAGATTCGGAATCATGTGAAGGGTGTTATAATCTGTGCCATAATGATATCCTTGTAGAATCTCTATCTGCTGGGTCCTTTGCTGGTTTGTTGTTTGAAATATCTGATTATAGACATAATGATCTATATCTCTACGGATCCTTTGATTTATGGTGCTATTTTTTGAGCCGACGACGGTATGTGACCCGATGTGCCAAAATTAATCAACTGGTTCTGACCTTGCCCCGTCGGTTGCTGCACATGCTGCACCGACGATCTAGAACTATACTGTATCTGATTCATAGTAGTACCTTGAGCTTGTTTAGATGAACTCTAAACTGCCTAGACATCATCATTACCAGCTGGTGCTGCTTCTTGATGGCTAGTACCGACTTGATTAGTCCCTTGGGTCAACGGATGTAGAATGTTGTAATAAGTCGGCCTATCCTACCAACTGGAAACCCATGAAGCACCTCTTTCATAGCGTTGTGGAATGTGTCCAAAAAAGCTTTATTATGGCTTGATATGGCATCACGAACAGATTTGTTTACAGCTTCCGTGAAGACAACGCATGTCTTTAGCTTCATCTGCATTTGTCTGTCCCGTGCAATAGAGCTCTTGGCAGTGGATATTTTGGAACAATTGTATTGTCACGTGTTTTGGTGCAGGACAACAAACACTTGTTTTGAAAATTTTCTATAGTTTTGCTGATGACACATTTATCTTCATCAAGTAGGTCTTCGTAATGTACCATAAGGATGTCGTTGTTGTTGTAAACCGCCATGACGATTATGGGGTCCCACCGGACGTGCCAAAACGTGTGTCGGCACGAAAATTTTCATCCGGTGCCGAGGGCACACGAGCAAGCCGGAAGGGTCTGCTCGATGGAGCTATAGATCCGCCTAGTTTTAACGCAGGGGTGGTCGATCCTGCGTACTTCTCCCAAGACGTGCCAGTCAATTTGACCATGCAATGGACAAGGAGAGAAAGCTAATCAGTAATTTAAAGCGGAACATGCCGGTGTTGCCAGACAGTCCCGAATGTGCGGCTCTGAGAGCCAATATGAAAAGAGATTGACAAAACAGTCGATTTCAGCATACTCATAAGAATAAATCAGTTAAAGCTTATAAATTATGGAAGAAAGATCGGTTATCGTTCAGGATGAATCTCGTTATTTAGACAAATATTAATCAATGGCAATAGGATATCAACAATAATTGGTTTATGCTAAACCAATGACTGCAGGTAACCGAACCCCTTTTATATAAAAGAAGCAGCTCATCATCATTTAACAATTTAATAAAGAGCACATCTCTCACATATTCATAAGTAACTATGTGAGAGAGATATGAATTTACGAATAATTTTTCATCGGAGCCACCAAAGTACAAG